CACGCTGTTTTGCCCTCAACCTGGCACAGCAATCTCACCGTCCGTGGCCGCCCTCCTCGATAAAGTTCCCCTTGGCTTCTTGGAGCCTTTGACAGCGGCGGACCATGTCTCCAATGCTGTTCTCCAAAAACTCCTTGGGCAAGTTCCGGATGGTGCGCTTCAAACGGCGGATATAGTTCGGGCGTGTCTCGCGTCTGGATTTCGGCCAGGCTTTCTCTTGACTGCGCAAGCGCCGGTTCACCTCCTTCCAGACTGCAAAGTCTAGTAAGGAGAGGTCCGGGCTTCGCTTGGGGATCTCCAACACGTCCATGTTCCCCTGCACTTTCGCTGCCTGACCTGCCAACATGCACAGACACAGATGCACACAGAAGGAGCACAAGGACGCCGAACACCCCCCAAGCAGTCATGGCAAGGTCCGCGCGCCTTTCGCCGATTTGTATCCCGTCGGATCATTGTCCTCCAGGATCCTATACTTGCGCTTGCCCGGCCATGCCTTGGCCAGCCCACGACCGCGAGCTTCATAAAAGGTGACGGCCGCCTGCCCACTCCAGCGGCCGGTCACCTCGTGCACGGTCACAACTTTGCCGCCACCAATGCCGACTTGCAACAGCACACCCTTCACCCCTGTGTAGTGCTTGAGGCCACCCTTCTTTGGCTTGACGTAGCCGGCACAGAGGCCCTTTCCGGGGCGTCGATAGGCGCCGAAAGTGTTGTGCTTCGCTGCCCTGGCACGCTCGGCTCCAGTCAAGTATACCTGGCAAGACGCAAGACAACACAAACGAACGCACCGCTCTGACGCAGACACGGGAAGCAAGGAACCTGGAAGTACTTGCCGTCGATGAAGGCGTGCACTTGCTGCAGCCACCATGCACGCGACTTATGCCGATAGGTGCTGGCAAACGTCTTGCGGGCTTTGACGTCGGCTGGGGTGAGCACAGGCTTCTCGCGCAACTTGCGAAAGTAGATGTCGCGGTCGTGGAGAGCTTTCAGGATGGTTTGCGTGCCAGCTTTTGTTTTGGTTGCTTTCTGCAAAGCCTCCACCGTGATCATCTTCTGGCCGTCCGCCTTCACGATCATTTGATCCAGCTTCCGCTCAAGATAATCTACCTGGGCCTTGCTCAAAGCACAGGGTCGACCCTGCTTTTTGGCTGCCTCCTGCTTGCATAGCAGTCGTGTCAGGGTGGACGCGTCGCGGCCCAGCAACTCCGCAATGGTTGACGGCGACTTCCCCTCGTCGTACCACCGCCGGGCCAAGGCCCGCTCCTTCTCCGTCATTTTCACCCAGCCAGCAGTCGGCATTGCACCACCGCTGTGAGTCTCGAAGCTAAGGCTATAGCTGCAGTGTGAACCCGGAACGCTGCAGCGTGCACGCGCGCAAGCATGCAAGACGGCCACACGCGCTCACACACGGCCGCTGCAGGCTCTGCAAACACGGCACGACGCGCCACCTGGGCGCGCGGCTACCTCTCTCACGCGAACTCAAGCAAGACACGGCGCTGACGCTGCATCGGTGCTCGACACAGTCTCCTCGCACAACACGCAAGCACAGGTGCGTCTAGCGCAAACACGGACGGCACAACGCGCTGACTCGGGCGCGCGGCTAGCTCTGTCACACGAACGCAAGCAAGACACGCAGCGGTAGCTGCGCAGCTTCTAGAGACAGAGTCTCCGCGCAAAACACGCAAGCATGTCTAGTGCAAAGACGGCACAACGCCCTGCCTCGGGCGCGCTGCAAACTCAAGCAAGACGCATAGCTCGTCAAGCTACAAGCTCTGTCACGGCAACGCAAGGAAGACAAACAGCTCCTGCTACGCAGCTTCTAGACAAAGTCTCCACGCGCGACACACAAGCACAGCTACGTCTTTTGCAGCATCGGCACTGACGCGGGCGCACTGCAAGCTCTCTCACGCGAAAAGTGAAGCACAGACATCCACAGCTACGATGCTTCTACGCAAAGTCTCCTCGCACAACACTTAAACACGGCAACTGGAAGCACCGCATGCTCGCACGTTGCGCCGAAGACAAGGTCTCGACAGAAGTCGTAAAACCACTTCCCGAGACGGTGGATGGTAAAAATCCTGCATGACCTGTCTACTAACAGTGTTAGCGACGACCTGGACGACTTCTGCCCTCGCCCCGATTTCAATGTTGTTGAGGCCATCGGGTCATGCAGGATTTTTACTATTCGCGCCTGTCGCCCTTTCGGTGCCTTTGGGCTCAATATTAAGATTCGGGGGTTGCGGGGGGAGAGACCTGTGTCGACAAATCGATGCAGGATTTTTCGTAGCAACAGTACTGCATCTGCGGTGTCGGTGTTCGTTTACAAATCTGCTGTGAGACACGGAAGCGACAAGGCTAGTAAAGCCTACAGGTCGTCATCTTCGATGGGACGCTCCTGTACTTGCGGCGGTCGCCGCGCTGCATAAGCAGCGGATGCCTGCACCACGAACTGGCACCAGCTCTCGGCGCAGTGCGGGATTGCCTGCAAGGGCCCCTCGATACTGACATGAGCATCGAACTGCACAACGCGAGACTGCATGTGTCGTACATCCTCGCGTGTGACAGGCCCGGCCACGTCCCAGAGCCCTTCCAGCGGTGCCGTCATGGCCGCACCACGGGTCCACCGAAAGTCGGGGTTGCCATCGTGGTGCGCCTGAGAGACCTGGACGCGGAAGTACTGCCCTGCGAAGAGCTTCTTGAAGGTCACGGCTGGCACAGTCGGCGCCTTCGGCGGCCTTGCCGCGAATTCTGTAGGCGAGAATTCGTCCCAGTAAATAAACCGCAACCGTCGGTTGGTGGCCAGAGAGCTCAATGCCATAGTGGCGCCCTGCGCAGGGCAGTAGTCGATGGCTTGTGGACCAAAGACATTGATCACAGGGTCCAACATCAAGCTCTTGCCAGCGTTTGTCACACCCGCAATCAGCGGCACCCGTGCCGTTTTGCAGGGACCGCAGCAGATAACCTGGGCCAGACTCGCTGCGACCAACTCTGAATCCACACTGGCACGGTTTCTGCGGAAGAAGTCGCTCGCAGCTGTGGCCCATTTGCACTCCCCGCTGCACGTGCAGGTCTGTCCCGCGAGACGCTGCACCAAAGCCCAGTCTGTCTCCAACTCCAGAGCACGCTGGCGCTTCGCATCCTGCCACTGTTCTGCTCCAGCAAGCAGCTCCGGCAACCGCTTCTGGTTACGCAAACAGTACAGCTGGGCCGCTTCCGACCCGTGCTCTTGCACGTAGGCGAGGACAGCGCTGGGTGTGCGGAGGTTCTTTTCCAGGACCAGAGCCGTGAAGTCCAGAGGCGTGAACTTGGCGGCCTTAGGCTTCCGGCCAGCTGCAGCTGCTTCGCCGGCTGCTGCAGCTTCGCGCTGTTGCCGACGCTTGGTCCACAGTGAGGAGCTGAAGGGTTGCTGCGCTTCCTCGTAGAGGTTGACGACAACGTTGCCTGAGGCAGGGTCCTTGTACTCCTGGACAGCAGCTGGCCCTGCCTCTACTGGCTCCAGAACTCCAAGTGCTTTAACCCACACCAGAGGTCTCTGGTCGACTGCAGGCTTCCGTTCCGTCGTGAAGGTCCCGTAGCGCACAGCACTCCACCACTGCGTGTGGGAAGTACTCCAGTGCGATGCCAGACCCGCACGCCGACGCAGCGCGGTCTTCAAGGGCAGGAACCGCGACACTGCACTAAGCCGCAAGGCGACGTGGAAGTGTCGCGGTTCCTCCAAGAAGACCACGAGCTTCTGCGCCTCCAGCACTGCTGAGCGGGGTCTGCCACCCCGTGGGTTGGCGTCCTGCACAGGGTGCTCCACGGCATCAAGGAGGGCAGCCTTGATGTCTTCTCGAGACAAGCCGTCCAAGCTTCTCAAAGGAAGCTCTGCCGCCAGTGCTGTCGCATCCAGGATGGCAGCGAACGTCACGAGAAACACTAGGCTTCGAGCTGCCGCATCCTCGTCCGTGAACCAGTCTGGCTTTGCAGGGGGTGTCTGGTCGTCAGAGTCGTCGGAGCTGGAGCTCGACATGACACAGGGCACGGTAAGGAGCCAAAGTGTGCTGCGATGAGCGGCGTTGCTGCGCTTTGGCTTGAACTCACACTGCTGGCTTGGCTTTAGCATCGCTAGGCTTTGAAGGGGCCGGCTTCTCAAGGTGCAACACGGTAGAACACGGTGTGTCACGGAAACTGAAGCAGACCTTCTACAGCGAAGTCGCGTAAACGCAAGCACAGCTGCCGGAACACTGCACAAGACGCTGTGACTCCACATGCTGCAAGCTCGACATAGCAAGACACAGGTGAGGGCAGGGCAGGGCAGAGGGCAGGGCAGGGCAGGGCAGGGCAGGGCAGGGCAGGGCAGGGAGGGGCAGGGCAGGGCAGGGCAGCAGGGCAGCAAGGCAGGGCAGGGCAGGGCAGGGCAGGGCAGGGCAGGGCAGGGCAGGGCAGGGCAGGGCAGGGCAGGGCAGGGCAGGGCAGGGCAGGGCAGGGCAGGGGAGGGCAGGGCAGGGCAGGAGGCAGGGCGCCTAGTTGCAAACCTAGTTCCTATTTGCAAAGTATTTGCAAAGTATTTGCAAACCTATTTGCAAACCTATTTGCAAACTCCAATTTTAAAGAGATTCCTTTCATGCGCAGGACTGACAAGCAAAGAGAAGACATGTCTTTGTCGGTTTCTTTATTGTGCCAGCGTGCAATCGTGAATCTCTTTAAAGTGGAGCTTGCAAATAGGTTTGCAAATAGGTTTGCAAATAGTTTGCAAATAGTTTGCAAATAGGAACTACGTTTGCAAGTAGGCGAGGTGGCCAGCCAGGCGCCCTGTCCAGGGCCAGGCATGCCCCAGACCAGCCAGGGCACAGGCCCAGGCAGGGTGCAGGCCAGGAGCTCCAGCCAAGCGGGGAGGCTCCAAGCACGCCCCCAGCCAGGCCCAGGGCGGGCAGGCCAGGAGGCCGGCCCTCCAGACCACCCCACCTAGCCTCCCTCAGGGATGCACGCTGTTTTGCCCTCAACCTGGCACAGCAATCTCACCGTCCGTGGCCGCCCTCCTCGATAAAGTTCCCCTTGGCTTCTTGGAGCCTTTGACAGCGGCGGACCATGTCTCCAATGCTGTTCTCCAAAAACTCCTTGGGCAAGTTCCGGATGGTGCGCTTCAAACGGCGGATATAGTTCGGGCGTGTCTCGCGTCTGGATTTCGGCCAGGCTTTCTCTTGACTGCGCAAGCGCCGGTTCACCTCCTTCCAGACTGCAAAGTCTAGTAAGGAGAGGTCCGGGCTTCGCTTGGGGATCTCCAACACGTCCATGTTCCCCTGCACTTTCGCTGCCTGACCTGCCAACATGCACAGACACAGATGCACACAGAAGGAGCACAAGGACGCCGAACACCCCCCAAGCAGTCATGGCAAGGTCCGCGCGCCTTTCGCCGATTTGTATCCCGTCGGATCATTGTCCTCCAGGATCCTATACTTGCGCTTGCCCGGCCATGCCTTGGCCAGCCCACGACCGAGAGCTTCATAAAAGGTGACGGCCGCCTGCCCACTCCAGCGGCCGGTCACCTCGTGCACGGTCACAACTTTGCCGCCACCAATGCCGACTTGCAACAGCACACCCTTCACCCCTGTGTAGTGCTTGAGGCCACCCTTCTTTGGCTTGACGTAGCCGGCACAGAGGCCCTTTCCGGGGCGTCGATAGGCGCCGAAAGTGTTGTGCTTCGCTGCCCTGGCACGCTCGGCTCCAGTCAAGTATACCTGGCAAGACGCAAGACAACACAAACGAACGCACCGCTCTGACGCAGACACGGGAAGCAAGGAACCTGGAAGTACTTGCCGTCGATGAAGGCGTGCACTTGCTGCAGCCACCATGCACGCGACTTATGCCGATAGGTGCTGGCAAACGTCTTGCGGGCTTTGACGTCGGCTGGGGTGAGCACAGGCTTCTCGCGCAACTTGCGAAAGTAGATGTCGCGGTCGTGGAGAGCTTTCAGGATGGTTTGCGTGCCAGCTTTTGTTTTGGTTGCTTTCTGCAAAGCCTCCACCGTGATCATCTTCTGGCCGTCCGCCTTCACGATAATTTGATCCAGCTTCCGCTCAAGATAATCTACCTGGGCCTTGCTCAAAGCACAGGGTCGACCCTGCTTTTTGGCTGCCTCCTGCTTGCATAGCAGTCGTGTCAGGGTGGACGCGTCGCGGCCCAGCAACTCCGCAATGGTTGACGGCGACTTCCCCTCGTCGTACCACCGCCGGGCCAAGGCCCGCTCCTTCTCCGTCATTTTCACCCAGCCAGCAGTCGGCATTGCACCACCGCTGTGAGTCTCGAAGCTAAGGCTATAGCTGCAGTGTGAACCCGGAACGCTGCAGCGTGCACGCGCGCAAGCATGCAAGACGGCCACACGCGCTCACACACGGCCGCTGCAGGCTCTGCAAACACGGCACGACGCGCCACCTGGGCGCGCGGCTACCTCTCTCACGCGAACTCAAGCAAGACACGGCGCTGACGCTGCATCGGTGCTCGACACAGTCTCCTCGCACAACACGCAAGCACAGGTGCGTCTAGCGCAAACACGGACGGCACAACGCGCTGACTCGGGCGCGCGGCTAGCTCTGTCACACGAACGCAAGCAAGACACGCAGCGGTAGCTGCGCAGCTTCTAGAGACAGAGTCTCCGCGCAAAACACGCAAGCATGTCTAGTGCAAAGACGGCACAACGCCCTGCCTCGGGCGCGCTGCAAACTCAAGCAAGACGCATAGCTCGTCAAGCTACAAGCTCTGTCACGGCAACGCAAGGAAGACAAACAGCTCCTGCTACGCAGCTTCTAGACAAAGTCTCCACGCGCGACACACAAGCACAGCTACGTCTTTTGCAGCATCGGCACTGACGCGGGCGCACTGCAAGCTCTCTCACGCGAAAAGTGAAGCACAGACATCCACAGCTACGATGCTTCTACGCAAAGTCTCCTCGCACAACACTTAAACACGGCAACTGGAAGCACCGCATGCTCGCACGTTGCGCCGAAGACAAGGTCACGACAGAAGTCGTAAAACCACTTCCCGAGACGGTGGATGGTAAAAATCCTGCATGACCTGTCTACTAACAGTGTTAGCGACGACCTGGACGACTTCTGCCCTCGCCCCGATTTCAATGTTGTTGAGGCCATCGGGTCATGCAGGATTTTTACTATTCGCGCCTGTCGCCCTTTCGGTGCCTTTGGGCTCAATATTAAGATTCGGGGGTTGCGGGGGGAGAGACCTGTGTCGACAAATCGATGCAGGATTTTTCGTAGCAACAGTACTACTACTACTACTACTACTACTACTACTACTACTACTACTACTACTACTACTACTACTACAAGCCTGGAAGGAAGGACACAAAACAGCACTCCGATCACCTTTAATCGAACACACACCTCAACATGCTGAGTGTCCTTTCAACCGGCTCCTACTACTACTACTACTACTACTACTACTACTATACTATACTACTACTACTACTATATTACTATACTATTATATACTATACTACTATACTACGACTATACTATACTATATACTATATTATACTGGTACTACTACGGCTATACTACTACTATACTACTATACTATACCTGTACTATACTGCTATACACCATATTACTACTATACTACTACGACGACGACTATATCGCTATACTACCTACTACTACTATTATACTACTACTACTACTACTACTACTACTACTACTACTACTACTACTACTACTACTACTACTACTACTACTACTACTACTACTACTACTACTACTACTACTACTACTACTACTACTACTACTACTACTACTACTATACTACTACTATACTACTATACTACTATACTACATCATACTATACTACTATTACCTATACTGCATATACTGCTATACCGCTATACTGCTCCTTATACTGCTGCACCGCAACACTGCTACTATTGCTGCATATACTATATACTATACTACTGCTACACTATTGCTACTACTACTACTACTACTACTACTATACTATACTATACTATACTATACTATACTATATACTATACTATACTATACTATACTATACTACTATATACGACTATACTACTATATACTACTAACTATACTACTTATATACTATATTACTATACTATATAATTATACTATACTAGTACTATTATATACTAGTACTATAGTATACTACCATACTACTATGTACTATATACTACTGCTATACTACTATATTATACTACTACGACTACTACTGCTATATGTTACTATACTACTATATACTATACTATTGATGCATCTCCTGTGTGGGACGACAGCGAGCCGAGGGCCCTGCCATGTCGACACATGCATGCAATAGGAGCACTCCACATGCAACTCCATGCTCTATATCGAAGCCGTTTTGATCATCGTCCATATACAGTTGTATATATATAGCCTTTCGCAGGGCTATAGCAGCTCGCGGGGCTTGAGAGTTGAAGAGAGCCATGTCGGAGAACATGAAGCAGCTCATCAACGATGTGAAGCAGATCCATACCTTTCTGCAGACCATGGAGAATGTACAAGGTGTGGACAGCAATGTCATGGAGGAGAACCAGTTCCAAAGCTTTGCTACGAGGCTTAACACCGTGCAGTCGTGCACACACGAAGATGGACAGGAGCTCATCAATGTGATCTCTCAAGGCCCTTGGACGGATCCCCACAAGCGGCACTTCTACACGTGCATTGGGTTGGTTGTCACAAACAACCCGACATCCTCAACCAGGAGAAACTGCCAGGACATCACGTCCTTCTCGAAGTACTTGTCTGCCAAAGACATACAGACACTGGGCAGCGATGCCACGTTGATCACCAAGCTCGAGGCTCTGGCCCATCGCTGTGCTCGTGTGGGCATCTCTAACCCAAGCGAGATCAGTGTGCGACAGATAATGGCATCTGGTCTGGTTTTTGGCATCCAAGCTGCCACCGACAAAGACAAGTTCGCTGTCGTGCAGGAAATCAAGCGGCTCATCAAGATCCAGGTGAAGCGGCGACCAAAAGCAGCAATGTATCTGGTGAAGTATCCCACCGACCCCCGGAACTTGCCGGAGGTGCTCTTTGCGGCTGGATACGATGCGGAAGACCCACCAAATACAACTGCGCCTGATGACACCGAGATCGCCAATGCAGCTCGCACGATCTCATTGAGAAGGTCGTCCAGGAGCATCCGAGGCAGTGGCTTGTTCGGCGATGCGGGCAACACCCTTGCTACGGCCGCTGCTCCAGCTGGGAACATGAACCCTTGGGGAAACATGATGAGTGGTCAGTGTGGGCCCATGCAACTTATGGGAAGCATGTTGCAGATGATGCAGAACATGACTGCGAAGAACAATCCCGAGCTCGACATCACCTACTTCAACCCGGCGGCTCGAGCCGGGAACCGGCTTGGATCTTCGGCTGCGGCAGTCCAGCCGAATCCTGCTCAGGCGGCACTCCCGCCCCCTGGTGGAAAGGAGGCGGCAACCCAGCCGAATGCAAACGAGTTGGCGATCACACCGAATATCGTTGAGGACCCCATGCCTGATGCCGAAGAGGTCGCCAATCAGGTAAAGGACAACAAGCGGCAGAGGGCTGAGGAGAAGAACGAGGAGAAACCCAATTCCAAGGCCAAAGCCAAGGCCAAAGCCAAGGCCAAAGCATCGGCCAAGGCCAAAGCCAAGGCAAAGGCCGTGGCAAAGGCCAAAACAAAGGCCGTGGCAAAAGCCAAGGCAAAGGCCGTGGCATGGAATGGTCGCCGACCCCCGGTTCCGCCTGAGGGAGCCCCCACGACGAAGTATAACGGCGGGAAGATTCATCGATCCGACACATTCTCGTTGTGGCGAGTCTTCATTCATGAGCAGGACAGGGTTGACAAGAAGATCAAGTTCGGCACGGACATGAAGGCCTCGTGGAAGAGGGCTTTGGATATGATCGACAGCGGCAAGTGAGCGATACTTTTGCAAATGTCGAGACACTTCTTAAGGTCCTGAGCTTTAGGGAGATCTATGGTTATATTATGTCCAAGGCTCATATATATATATATATATATATATATACATCTGTAGATAAGATGTATCGAGGGAAGGTGTTTGCTTATACATATTTGTTTCTCTATAGTATATATACTTAAGCATTTATGTCTCTTTGTTGTGTAGATGCATATATATGTATATAGAGCCGGGCACATAAAGATTGGACCTGTGTATATATGTATATATATATGCACTATATAGCATTTATATAGGGCTATATGGTTCAGATATATATGGCTATAGTTCTCAATAGCTCTTGACCTCCGACCGGGAACAGACTCCACAGTGGCAGTCGTTCCATCCATGGGCGCCAGACGAAAGGAGTTGTACATGACAGCTGCTTTTTTTCAGGCACTCTTTCGAGCGACCCGATGTTCCATGCATCCGAGGGGACAAGTGTTCGAGAAACATCGCATGTGTGTAGCCCTGCATGCAGAGTTAGAAGTGTTTTGCAGGGTGATTGTGTGTGAGTTTGCTGCATCACTGCACGGCGAGCCCGTGGCCCTGCCTTGTGCAATGCATGCATGGCGATGGCTTTGGCTGTGAGTATGTATATCATGCATGAAACATGACAACTCCACATTGCCGGTATATATATATATATATATATATATAAGCCCATGCAGTGGATCGCACACACAGCATGACCAACATATAGATTGATTTATATATATATATATATATATGTACCCACTGCAGGGCAGTTTGCTCGCAGGGTGCCTGCATGCAATGTCGTTGGAAAGGCTTGGTCGCAAATCGTACATTAGCCAGAGAGGCTTGGCTGATGTTCTCACCGACCTGAAGGAATCCAAGCAGCCTTTGACGGCCACCTCGCGACAGTCCATCAAGCGAGCCCGAGACAAGGTGATCACACAGACCACTCCATATGGACCCGTCTGGGAGACTTTGCGCTTGCCCCGTGTTCCTGATGGCAAAGAGTCTAACAATGGCATCGATGTGCCGGTGCTTTGTTTGCCTGCATTCCTTCATCATGCATGTGCAAAACTCACTGGCTTCTCCCAGTTCTTTCTGCGACGGTTGCAAGAGTGCCCGTGCCGGTCGCCCAACGAAGCTTGGCGGGCCGCAATCTATAATGATGAAGTTGCACCCGGCAATCAGCTGAAGGGAAACAACAGCAGGAAAATTCAGGTCTGGTATATGGCATGGCTTGAATACGGCCAAGACCATCTTTTCTACGAAGAGCTTTGGATGCCTTTGCTCATGATCCGGAGCAATCTGGTGAAACTTGTAGAAGGAGGGCTGTCAGCAGTGACAGCCAGGCTTGTGCAACTTTCATTCCGTGGTGTGCACAATTTGGAGAGCGGCATCCTTCTTTCTTTTCCCGGACACGAGGCTTGGAGTGCATTTCATTATATCTATTCGATACTGTGATATTGTATTTTGCTTTGCAAGAGTTTCGATATTCAATGGTTCCTATATATAGCCGAGGACAGCCGAATGTTCTTCGGCAAGCCAACTGTTCTGCTAGCAGACGAAAGCGCCCTCAAGCACATGCTAGACACGAAAGGTGCATCGGGCACAGTCCCATGCACTTTTTGTGCCAATGTTGTCAGCAAGCGGACAGAAGGGGACTCCGACGATTTGCTGACGATCTGCAGCACAGACGTGGCCCGCTTCAGAATGCGGAGTGACGAGGCTTTGTTCAAGGCTGCAGAACACCTCGTGGACCAAAGCACGAAGCTATCGAATGCGAAGCTGGCCGAACTTGAACAAGCCATGGGCTTGAACACCAATCAGTTTGGCCTTCTCGCAACCCGATCCCTGGGAGCATCCAGTTGCATGTTCGACTGGATGCACATCTATTTAGTGCATGGAGTAGCTCATGCAGAAGTAAATTGCATCCTGGAGCGAATGGTGGCTGTTAAGATTCCGAGCACACAGCTGCACGACTTCTGTGATGGCCTGCAATTTCCCAAAGCTGATGCCTGGAAGAAAAAGGAGGTCATGAGCATGTTCACTTCCAAGAAGATCAGTCCAGGCGACTTCAAGGCTGCAGCCAGCACGTGCTTGTGTTTCTATCCCTTGCTGCGATTGTTCTTCATGTCCACACCAGAAATCGTGGCAAGGATGACAGAGGAGGCCAGAAGTTACTCGCATCTGTGTGCTGTGCTGGACTATCTCGCCCAAGCAAACAGGGGCGAGACACGGTTGCAGGCAGGGAAGCTGCAAACCTTGATCCAAACGCATTGCGAGCACTTCGTCAGAACATACGGGGAAGGGCCGATCACCCCCAAGTTTCACATGACGATGCATTTACCCTTCATGCTGAAGAAATTCGACCAGTTGGTGGCATGCTTCACTCACGAGCGGAAGCATAAACATATCAAAAGAATCGGCGACCAGCTGCATTCCTCCCAGCTGGCCTTCGAGGCCAGTGTGGCTCACGACATCTGGTTCGACCATTTCCAGGACTATGCCGACTTGAGCTTGGACAATGGCCCTGCACTGGTTGGCAGGGACAAAGCTGCAGAGCCAATCCTAAAGCATGAGCTGCTCAAGGTATTCGGCATCGCCGATGCAGATGTGCACCCGAGCCAAAAGTGCTGCATCAAGCCTGGCACAACCATTGCACGAGGAGATGTGGTGGTGATGCATGGTGATGTCGTGGGGGAGCTGTGGCTCAACTTCCGACTGCATGGCGGGCACTGGTGCATAGTCAGTATCTACGAAGCGATGGGCCGCAATGTCTTTGCTGTCGCGGAAAACCCGCTTTTTGTGAAGGTTTCCAGTGTTCGCTCGGCATGCATCTTCCGCAGGGAGGGGCATGACAAGGTCAGGATCGTGCCGTGAATGGCCATGGAGCTGCTAAAAAAGATTGCAGCTTCGCCTGCATGCATGAACTTTCGTGTGAGTTTGCTGCATGCACTGCACGGCGAGCCCGTGGCCCTGCCTTGTGCAAGTGCTTACATTTTGCAGTTATGATACACTTATAAGTGAGCTAAGTACACTTAGCTATTTATGCTAACTTAGATACATAAGTACACTTATCACGTTTATATATCTTGCTTATTTGCACTTGTCTATTTCATATAACATGTCTATGTACTTAATAACCACCATACCTACATAATAACCCCAGCGGGCCGCCAAGTTGAAGCGGCGTTTCCGCAAATTGCGCGCTGGTCCGCATGAAGTCAATCATCGTCCAGTCAACACTGCCTTGGACAGTTAGCGGTGCATGTGCGGCAACAAAGACCGTAAAGGTGACTGACCTGGACACACTTCGCTCATTGAGGGTGGGGCACATGGCAGGGAGCATGCGCAAACGTGCCAACGGGACGCGGAATGCAGCCTCATGGTACACGCCCCTAGGTGCCAACTCCACACCCTGAAGGTCACTCGGCAGAACCTGTCGGGTGGCAGAGTCTGTGCTCGACATGATGCGTTCGAGCTCAGAGAGATCAGGAGGTTCCCAATCATCAGGCGTGGTTGTGGTGCTGGTCGTGGAGCCCTGCAAATCTGCTGGCGGGGCGGGGTCATCGGCAACCTGTGACCTAACCTCGAACCACTCATATTGCGAGAGGGGTGCCTGTAAGACCAGGACCGCGTTGCCATCAGAAGCAACCAGACGGAAAAGCCATGGCCTTGCTGATAGGGCATCCAAACGGCCTCGGGTGGCATCAGCCGCTTCACGTAGTACGTCCTGGGCAGACATACCGGTAGCCAGCACTAGTGTGTGTACCCTGCCACCTTGGCCTCTCAGATCGACTGGCAGAGCGAGTTGGTGTGCCTCCGTGTCCCTAGGTGTCAGCGTTAGCTGGGGTGTGTGTAACCCAGGCATAGCGCGCTCAATGAGCTGTATGGCCCTCACGCGCATTGGCGCGCTGGTAACAGCATCAGCGACATACTCGAGGAGGGTCCAAGTCCGGTGTGAGCGTCTGGTGCGCGCTCCATGGGGTGGATCGAAGACGGTGAAGGCGGCATGCCCCGATCCGTCCCAATCCGGGCAGGTAGTGTACGCTGTCAAGCTTTCAATGCACTCATTGTATAGGCGTCCCGCAAGAACATCTGGCACAAGTGGAATTTGCGCAGTGATTGTACATTGGAGCGTTGTTGGCCGACGGGGCAAAGTGCTCACATGCGGTTTGACAGCTGAAGCAATAGCACACGTCGCCGGACTCGTGAGAGCGCGGGCCGACCAAGGGAAAGGAGGCGGCGCCGTGCTAGTCCAGTGTGACTGCACAGGCTGCGACTGGGCAGTGAGGCTGGGTGGAACCTCCGCGGACGGGAGGGCAGGGCTTGCACGGTGCGCCGTGCAGGAACCAGTCAAGGCTCGACAGGAACCGACCTTGGAACTGGCAGAAAACTTGCAACCTGAAAGGCGGGAGAGCCCTCGGCACCAATGATTCAGATTGGTCAGGTCAGATGGTTCGAAACAGACCCGGAGTGGGAGAGAGTGCGGGTGGAGGTGCAACGAGGTTTGCACGGGCAACTCAACCAGCCTACTTGATCCCTGTACAGCTGTACAACTCCCCTCATAAGCGGCAACACAGGGGCATCCTTGCGGCCACGGGGGCTCGAGCACTTCGGGCTCCACCGTGCTTTGTCCCATCGGCACGGGAACCTGGAAGCCCGAGCCACCCCTTTCCTCAGGACAGCCCTGTGTTGGTGCACTCCAGTTGTAGGCGTGCGCTTCCCCAAGCGACGCCTCGTGTCGTCGGTCCTGCAGGATCTCGAAGATGTCACTGCAAGTATCATGGCACACAGCAAGCGAAGACTGTAATGCCAGAAGCTGCGCCATAAAAGGGGAGACGAAGTCCTCCTCCTTTACGACAGAATGTCTCCAAGTGCAAGCTGCACTGAGTGGGTGTGTACTAAAGAAGCTATCACAGGGGCCTAACTGGGGGGCGGCTGGGGCAACTGCGCAGTAGAAGGCAACGCAGGTCCACCAGCAGGTTGCCGACCTTTGCCGGTATCGCGCAAACGGCCCCCCTCCTCCTGCTCGGAGCCCGAGGACTGGATGGTCCCAGCATCTTCGCGCTTGCGCCTCGGCGTGCGCGATCCTTCCCTTGGTGCTGGCACCACTCCTTGCTGGGCTTTCTGCAACACCTCCATGAGGTCCTTGTACTTCTGTGCGGTCACCTCTTGCTCGTGGCGGTGCTGATTTTCTGCCTCCATCGCATCCTCGAAGTCTCGGTCCTCCTGGTCCATGGCCTCCTCGGTGGGCTCGGTGTGGTTGTTCATAACCCCACGGCCCGTTGAGAGTGCCAGCTGTGAGGAGGCTTCCGTCAGTTGCTTTGTCCATGCCTCCTCGGTCGTCGCGAACTTCTCGAGGCTGTCTGTCTTTCCGTCAGCTGCGCCTGGACAAGGGTGATGAGCTGTCCCACACAGTCGTTCCACCCTTTGTTGTAGGCTGCCCTCTCCGCACTGATGCGGTGTAGTTCGCGTTTGGCCTTCGTCTGGAGCGCAACGAGTTGGTGTAATTGTCGCCCCTGACTCCGGTGGCTGTCGGACTGATATTGGTCGATGATCGCCGCGAGCTCCGGCTTCATCTCCAATCCCATCGTCGAGATCTGTGCGACCAGGGATTCCAACATCTTGCGGTCTTCGGAGGGCTGTGCGGGCTGCGAAACCTCCGTCTGTGGTTTGGGCATCCGCACGGCCACCGGCTGCGGTGCGGTAGGCAGCTGGGAGAGCGCCGGGGCCTGCGAGGTTGGCCCAGCAGGAGGCTTGGGCCCCTTCCCCGGGGCTTGCGGCCACTGCTTGCCTTTCGGCGCTTGCCCCTTGCCTTTGGGATCGCGCCGCCGCGGCGACTTCGTCTTGCGGGGGGTGGCTGCACGCCATTCCCCGCCATCCCATACATCCCTGGAACCGCGGCCTGGTGTCGTTGGCTGCGCTGGTTCGTAGATCTGCTGCCAATGTCCCCCACACGATTGGCAGTACTGTGCTGCGTGCTTGCACAGCACCTTGCAGTTTCGGCAGCGCCAGGGCTGTGACATAGTTTCCTGGCCACTGTCCTCTGCAAGCTTGTTCCTCACCTGTCCAGGTAGCACCGAAGCAGAGTGATGTGTCTCCAGCAATCTCAATGCGAGCTTGGTCTGCTCGCCCCAGGGCACTAAGTCGCCCAAGAAAGCTCGAAGATGTGTTCGGGCCCACGTCCGTCCACGACGATGCCAGGCCGACTCTTGCAGCCTGCGAGCCCTCGTACTCGGCGAAGGCGAAGATGAAGGTACAGACAGCCACAAATGCACGAAAGATCATGCACCTGTGCCAGCCTGGCCAGACGGGGCGCCACTCCCTTGAAAAAGCGCGGTATTAAGCCGCAGGACGGCCGAAGCAGCGTCCGCAGCGATTCCGACCCCCTCGCGATGCGTACAGGGGTGACCACTCCTCCAGCTGTGTAACAGGGAGGAGAGGAAAGTGGTGGGACCTCCGCTGAGCCGGAGAGCCTGTCCCAAGTCGTGGGCAAAAAGCCACACTAGGGTTCAGCGACGAGGCGGCCTGTGGATCCCTAAGGAAAACTACACAGTCCCCTGAAGCCAAACGCCTAGAGGCTTAGGGTTTTGAAGTTTCCCAGGCTACCAGCTTGGCACGTCTAGTTACCGGTCAGTCAACCCTTGTGACCTTTTTCCACGGGGGACTTGGGCCAAGTGCAATCGCGTAAAGACATAGCTAAGGACCATAGGAATAGCAATGGAGGCAGGGTAAAATCTACACCCCCCTCGCCGTGCTGCTCGAGCTAAGGCGGATAGTACATGGCTCCAGGTTGCCCTGGGCTTCAACGGTTTTGAAGACTTGCCAAAGCGAGCATCTATAAAGCACAACGGGGAAGCCCTGCAGGTCCGAAGCAAATCAAAATGAGGACTCAGCGCCTGTGGGTGCGGTTCCATGCATCCCACTCGGCCTGAGTGTAACCTCCACGACGCTGGCGATAGTACTCGTCCCACTGGGCCTGAGTATAGCCTCTGTACATTGGCTCAGGTGCTGTCGTGCGACCACGTCCCTTTTGGGATGGGCGGTTCTGGACTGCAGCCTGGCGATTGCGCTCTGCCAGACGTTCCGTTTGATCTGTCTGGTTCTGAGCACTACGGAGGCTATCGGTAAGAATCTGTCCGATCTCAGTTGTGATGCCTTCAATTGTGGTAGCCGACACATAGACCTCGCCGTCGAAAGTCAGGATCCTTTTCGCAGCGTCATTCACTGCTGCCACCTCAGCATAGAGGCGCGGAGGGAGGAATGCACCGAGGTAGGTCAAGCCGATGGGGACATCCGCGGTATCATCGATAAACCGCAGTGGGCATAATAGACCAACTTCGCAGGCGGGACATTGCCACCACCATAATGGGAGCCGGCACGCAAGTAGCGCTGCTCCTCGCTGCGTCCTGGATCGGGAAGCACAGCGTTCGACAGGTGATCGAATTTCTGCATGTCCTCAAGGCTGCGGCCCTCTTGCATCATTCTCACGTTGAACTGCGCGTCCTTCTCGAAGCGGTCGGACACGGTGTCAAAGTTCAACTTGGCGGCCCTGATCTTTCGGTCTTTGGCGTCACGAATGGCGGCAGCCTCTGCGCTCATCTGACCACGTTTCTTTGGTCCCTCGCCCAGGCCTCGAAGGTCACTCGCAAGGAGATCATCGATGGGCTTCTGGGCTCCGGTCGCAGCGGTGGCAAGAAGGCGCTGGCGGAGTCTCGAATTCTCAAAGACTCGCTTTGTGATTTTCTTAGAGTCATCCGTCTGGGGAGCCTTGCAACGGAGGCAGAACAGCATGCCATTGGCAACGACTGCTGCGCACTCGCGGCATGGGTGAGAGCCAAGTGGGTAAGGCTCATCCTCACCCGCATCCGTTGTGTCATCGACTTCAACCTCAACCTCAACCTTGGTTTCGTCAAGGTCGAATGCACCAGCAGCATCAGCAGGCTCACCCTCGCGGGTGGCTTCATCCAAGTCCATGCTTTCGTCTTTTTCAGCGATTGCGGCGGGCTTGGGAACCACCTTCGGCATCTTCTTTGAAGCGATCGCTTTGGGAGCGATAGCCGCCTGTTTTGGGGGCGGTGCCGATGATGAGCTTGCTGCTGCGGCCTCCTCATAGTCGCGCTTTGCGCGGAAAATGCGCTCTGGCTCACCCTCGCGGGCGGCTTCTTTGTGCTCGGCGACATAGAGCGGGAGGTTCTTTTTGCTGGTGTCGATGGCGGACAGCACGCAATCGGGAGGCACATTGTCCCGTGTGAGGACGCCGTCGGTCTCCGTGACGAAGAAAACGCATCCAGCGGCGATTGCGCGCTGCGTGTCTATCGTCAGCTCGATCGGCTGGTTGGAGCGCATTCCACTCTTGTAGTGGGTGTCGTCCAACTTGTACGGGGACAGGTAGTTGTGGGACCTGTCTGACCTTGCGGAACCGGCGATCATTCCATCGCGGAGGATACCCTTCATTCCCTTTTCATTCGTGCGGTGGTAGAGCTTCGGGGGGGTATCCTCGCGGGAGAGCACAGTGACCCCCCTGACGCTGCTCTGCAGGTCGGCCTCGTACTCGGACAATCCGCTGTAGAACCTGGTCGCGAGGAAGAAGTCCGCGTCCGGGTTATTGCCGATGAGCTTGGAGTTATGCCCTTGGGCCATCCTCACTCTGACAGGGAATAGCGGTTGACCCAGGGTGTCCTTCATGGGGACATCAATGCCCAAAAGTCTGATCCGTCCCTTATTATCGGCTTTCGCTGCGCGTAGCAGCTGCCTCACACCCCAGCGTGCGTTCCGTGCCGTGTTGAAGACCTGGAGCAGAGTGTCAACGTCTGCCCAGCACCCACGGTCAAAGATCAATGCAGGGAAGTCGTCCATTTCATGGCCACGCAGCAGCTTGGTGAGGAACTTCAGGTCACCGTGTTTGAATGTCACGTGCCTGTCTCCCACAATGTCCTCCGGGTTAAATAAAGGGCTTCATCAAGTGCTTCTTGCCGTTGTAGAAGTACTCATTCGGAAGCTCTGGCACAGTGGCAGCCCCTTGCGGGGCGCTTTCATCAATGAACATGAGCCGTCGCATGGCGTCCTCGTCTCGATCAGACTTCTTAGTCTTCTTCGGAGGCGCTGGCTCAACAACACGTCCAATCGATGAGGGGATAGGGTCGACCTGGTCGCCCTCGTCCACCAGCTCCACCGTGCCCGGGGTGTTGTAGGACACCTTGCCGTCTGCGTCCTGGGTGACGATGTCATTGACGCATTCCGCAACAGCACTGACGTCAGTGGTTGCACCGATCCTTGGCACATCCTTGCGGATGGCTTTATCCATGGGTGGCCCCTCGGAGATCTTAGTGACGTCGGTTGCGTCAGCGGCATCTGGGGCTTCCCACATCTTGTCCTCCTGGGTGACCGGCATTGGCTTGGCCTGTTTCGGGTTCATCAGCTGATCCTTCTCTGCACGCCACTGCTTGAAGACATCCTCGAGCACTGGATTGTTGGCATCGGAGCCAGTCTCAAAGTGCTCATAGCGAACAAGCAAAGCCCTGACACAGGGTGCCATCTTCTGGGCAAGCCATTCGCTCCTGCTTGCATTGAAAGTCGCATGCAAGTAGGTCTGGAATAACTCGCGGTTGCGAGGGTCTTCGCTGGCGTGAAAGCTGTCATACATTTCCAGCTTTTCGACCAAGGAGCTTGCGGTTTGCACTTGCAGACCGCGCTGCCTGAACTCTTCGAACATAGCGGCATTGAAGTCGTTGTAGGCTGAGTGGAGTTGGAACAAGTCCGCCTCCACCTGCCCAATCACCTTCACAAAACCAATGTCCGGCTCGCCCGCGAGGGCGGCTAAAACATCCGCTGCCCTTCTCACTTTCCGTGCGACGGTCTCCGTTGTGACATTGGGATCTCTGTGGGCGAGTCCCGGTCCTAGCCGCGTGGGGATGCAGCCCCACTGGCCGGAGATCTCGTTCCCGCACCACCAGCAGATCACGTCGATGGTGTGGTCCGGATAGTTGCTCCGGAGCTCCTTCACATGCTCCTCGACCTGCCAGACAATCCACGCCAAGGTTTTACCCCAACACATGGTATAGCGAGTCTGTGCCCATCCCAGCGTCCAGCTTGCGATGTTCACTTCCGCATCCAAGTCGGCCTTAACGAACACTCCCCGCCTGTTCTTCTTGCAGAGTGCAGTGGAGCTGTCTGACACGACTATGATGGCTCGCTTGGCCTTGGGGCTCAACCTTGCGGTTGGCTTCAACTTGGCGAGTCCCTCGTCACTGAGGTCAGCCATCTGGCGCAGAGCCACACAGGTTGCGTCGGCATGGGTCAAGGATACCCCAGCCGCGCATTGTGTGGATACGCAGCTGTACGCCGACTCCAAGAGCTGGCTCTCATGATCGGCGCCGAGCGAAATGATATCGTTGTTGAGGGCGGCGGATTGGAGAATGGTTTTCATGGCCTTGGTAACTCCATTCCTGTCTGCTTCGGAGGTGTTGACCCTGCAGAACTCGTCGCTCACAACGATGGCTGCCATCTTGGGGATCGTAGAAGTCGCTTCGGGCAAGTCGAGAAGATCAGAACCAGCTGAAATTGCAATGGCAGGCGTGCACATAAAGAAAGCCAAGATTTCATGGTCAAGGCTTGCAGTTTGTTGTGTGTTTGTGCACTCGAGCGATGTGTGTGCAAACGAATCATTTTCGAAACGAGAACACGGTTTGTTAAGCCTACCCCCCTCATCGAGAGGGGAACCAACACACCTCAAACAAACCATTGCCTTCTGAGCTGGGAGCTTCAACTGAGCCGTAGGCAAGAGGAACTGTGCTTGATGTAGGAATTGCTTTTGCTTTTTGTTGAACTTCTGGTACCCCCCTGAAGAGTAGGCGATGAAGGAATGTCGTTCGCCAGTGTAGGGTTGTACACCATGTTTTGTCGATGGATGCAACAGAGTAGGCTTGCGGTATGTGTTGCAATTGTAGCCTTTGTGGTCTTTGCCATGATCATCTGTGTATATTCCCGGTGGTCCCAACTGGCTCGCGCCCTCAATCCACAGTGTCCCCCCTGTATAGTTACCGAAGGAGAACGTCAGGTTGTACGATTCTTTCTGATTGTACTTATCCGTGTGGATGCGGGCCTTGCCATTGAAGTTGAACACGAACGAGGTCCATGTAAACCCTTTCGGAGATGATTGCTTAACAAATCCATTCACATACCTGCAAATCCATGGGTAATGTTTTGTGCGGTTGGTAATACCAAAGCACCCACCATGGACCCAAGCGCCGAATACCAAGTATTTGGATAGGTTCTCAGAAGCCATAAACGATCGTGGTTTTGCCAATGATGCCTTGAGATTGGTACGAATAAGCCCAGCTAGCTTCTCGAAGGTCTTGAAGCTGTAATCGTTAGCCTCGAACGATTGTTGAGCGAAGTCCTCGACAACCTTTGATGCATCCGGAGCTGCTGCTACCGAAACCTTGTTGTCAACCTCGACCTTCGACTCGGGTTTGCACCCGGCTACGTTCGCGCTGGTTGTATGTCCAATAAGCTTCAAAGCATGCGTCCACTTGTTCTTTTCAGTGAAAGGCTTCGTGAACACATCCGCCACTTGTTCGGCTGTACCAACATTCAGTAGCTTGAAATGCCCAACCTCATATTGCTGCTTTAGCCATGAGAAACTCACCCTCTGTGTCCGATCAGTATGTCGTAGAACACCAGCTTGCCCTAGCAACAAAAGAGTGATTGTCGCCTGGTTATCCTCCATATGTCTAACCTCGAAACTTTCAGGAAGTTGGACACAGAGGCCGTTGATGTCTGCGATTGACAACCCATCCGGTCTAGTGGACCCATAACGAATTTCGTCAAGTTCAGGGTCAATGCGTGCAACTATCGAATCCACCCTCTCAGCCCTTGGCTCGGCCTTGCGGCCGGCATCTCCACGCCATAGGAAATACCACAAGCTCAGGCAAGGTAGACCTTCGGCACGTAAACCGTGATTCGCTGCTACAACTTCGGACTCAGTAGAGCTCATTGTAATAGATGTTTGTTTCTTGCTGAAGGCATTGAGGGGAAAGTACGTGTTTGGTCCAACCAAAAACATCGCACATCCTGTAGTCGATTTTGAATCGAATTCGCCCGCAAAGTCGGAATCGCTGAACAACCACAGTCTGCAATCCATTATGCTGTCGCCTATGAAACCGCTCATAGTGACATCAAGCGAAGAGTTTATGTAGCAAACCAACCTGTGAAGTCCCAAGTCGCAATCTGGACTCCACTTGGTCACCCTCGACGCCAAAGACTGTGTTGCCCTTAGAAGATCCCATCTGGCCATGCGAGCAGCGAACAAAATCTTCATTAGTACCTTACTAGCAATAGGTTGCAAGCGCCCTGCCTTCTCTCCTTCGGAAGCTGTTGGCAAAGCCACACGTAGCTCATGGAAGGGGGTTGCAGCTGGTTTCAGGGTCTTACGCTCTACCTTAGCAAGCTCGCAGTACCGATCAACGCAAGAGTCGAGAAAGTCCTTCATATCGTACGTGATGCGAGTGACTGGCTTTGTCATTGCACCGGGCTTCTCTTTAACGTCTTGCGACAAAGTGACAAACTTGCTCTGCTTCGCCTCCTTTTTAGCCTCAGACTTGTTACGAACCGGCTTGCCCTTGCGGGCAGCTGCAACTGCCAGTTCGAAATCAGACTGTTCCCGGCCTGCGAGGTCGAAGTAGGTTTCGCCGTCCCACCAATCCTGAAGACAGCGATCGCGCATTTGATTGCAACTGTCAACAACAACTTCCTCCGACTCACCCTTGCGGGTGGCTTTAGCCACCACAGTGTATCTCCGAGGGCCAATCCCCGGGAACATTCTAGCATCATCCTCGTTGGGGACATAAAGTCTTTTGCGAGGATAACGGTGATGTCGGATTGCTATGAGATTCTCGGGGTCAATGTCCCAATAGTCTTCTTTTCTAGCAGGAGTTGCAGCTGATGTTTCGGGCTCAAACACGTGACGAAAAGGGTGGGCTTCCTTGGGCAGCTTGAGGTTGTGTTCTTCCTTGTGCATACACCCAAAGTATCTACCAATGGCTTCCGGAAGATCCATATCAATGACGCTCGAGATCAAGTCCCATCCCTCCTTGATAGAGTTCTTAGGGCCAGCGAGTTTAAAGTCATCGACGTATACCACTAAAAGCAGCTTCTTCTTCGGGTGGTAGAATACACTCTTCCAAATGTCAGTCAATACTGCCTCGAACCCGACTTTCTTCAACTCAGCTTCGCAGTGATGTTCCCAAATCCCCCCTGAATCGGGGTGTCCGTAAAGTGCCAACTTGAGTGGAACAACAGGATCTTTCATGCCCTGCCATGCCTTAGGCCAGCGATTGCGAGGCAACCGTACCCAAGTGGCAACCCCTTGGAACAAGGCTTGGGTGTATGCTTGCTTGGCGTCGGCTTGCTGGATGATGTAGCCCGGTTGTGAGCCAAAGACGTCAAGAATCTTCCCTGCTTCCATAGATGCAGGACTGCTCGACATCTCCGCAAAGAGCGCGTGATCGGCGTTTTCATCAAGTACTTTATTTCCCTGAAATACCGAACGTCCCTTATACTTACGGTTAGGGTCGCCTTCTTTCAGCTCGGCTCCCTTTAGGGTACCAATCTCAAAAACATTGCCAAAGTGAACCTTGGTTTGAGATTTCTTAGCTTCGTTGGCAACCGACTCGAACTCCCTGACTTTGCCTTGTACCCAGCAGCCCTTGTCAACCAATTTCTGCCATTCTTTGTCCATGGCAGCCTGCGCCTTAGGGTTTGTTGCAATCTCCTTAGACGACAGGACCTTGGCGACAACAGCATACATCTCATCTGCGATCTGAAAAAGCTTCTTGTCATATAGCCCTTTGAGTCGTTCCCGATGTTCCTCGCTACACCCATGTAGGACTGGCATTGCAGGTACCGCCTTTACAGCTTCACGATACAGTGCCTCATTCTCCTCATGTAGCTTCTTCTCATGTTCTGCAATTGCTGTTGCTCTTTGTCTTTTCGACATAGCCTTCCATGCAGTATGATCAATAGCGTTAGGGCGGTTCTTGTTGTTCTTCTTGACCAAACATTCCCCACTCCACGTATAACCATACGGTGGTTCTTGCGCTGCTACTGCTGCGCTGGACTTCAGCTTCTGCTTCACAGAGAACGGAACATCATCAAGCAATGCTGCACGGGAATCAGACTTTGACTCACCCTTGCGGGTGGCTTCTTTCGCGTCCTTCGGCGGAGGATCTTTATCACGATCAGGACCAAATAGCTCTGGGAACATTTCATCCAGGTCTTCGCTAAGTTGTTCCTGAATTGTGGCTTCATCGTATCCCCCCCCTTCCTCCAGAGGAGGATGCGGGTTTTGCTCATCAAGGACATTGTGATGTTGTGCATCAAGGCTTGGTGGTTTATCCAAGGCAGGCTCTTGCAACAAAGGAAACTTAAAGTCACCATCTGGTAGCTCCAGTCTCTTTAGTCCGAAACACACGTAGATCTTCGTTTTCCAACGCGGCTTCGATGTTGTGTAGGGGAGCAACAACGTACTCAAGCTTGAAGATAAAACCAGGTTGGATGTGGTACCCAAGGAATATACCTTCAATCCCTGTGCCAGAAAACTTGGATCGTTCAGGCTTGCGTTGCTTCTTCGGGGCCCAATAGAGGACTTTCGCTCCAAAGGGAATACGCATGCCGTTGAACTTTTCACCGTACCTGATTTCCCACGGAATCTGACCATTGTCAATCCTCGCAGTGATGTTAAGACACATAGCATGATGTTGCGATGCAAGAGGCCAATAGCGATCTGGAAGTCCTGATTGCACTAAATTGGCCCGTGTGCCTTCCAAAATGGTTCTGATTTCTCGCTCGATTACGGCCTTGTTTTCGTTCACATACTCTCTAGAAGTGTTGTGACGAGCGCGAAGCTGTCTGGCCGCAAAGTCAAACTCCAACGCATTGTCGGAATATATAACCTTTACCTCATCATCTGTACCAAGGAAGTGCAACATGTCTTCGTAGCACTGCTCACCAGACTTTGTCTTGGAAGGGTACACGTATCTAAACTTAGAATACACGTCCTTCACAACATGAGCCACGGTTTCATCTTGGAACCCGTAATCCTTGGCATCAGCGGTCACGATGTGATCTACTGTGATGTGGTCACCGAACGATTTACTGTAGATTGTAGAGGATCCACCAGATTTACGCGCCTGGGGCGCATACATCTTGGCCCTTTGGCAAATGGGGCAGAACGGATTCTTTGGTCTATGGGTAAGTCGATGTTCCAAAGACACAGCCTCAGCCCTGAAGGAAGCTTCATCCTTCTTAGACTTTGGCATTGTGTATGGCTCGACATCACTGTCGGCTTGCGCCTCAACTTCCCCTTCAGGCAAAGCAAACAATGTGATAGTCGCAATAGTCCCTTCAGGTACTTCCCCATAGATTCCGTCCAATTCGTCAATGTTGACTGAATCCTCCAACAAAGACCACACGTCATCCTTGAATCCCCAAGTAGTCCGGATTCTATACCTTGGGAACTTAGGAGCCGGTGTTCGAAGCGTCTTTGGGAAATGTGCCACCTTAGCAGCGGGGCTGCCGTTGATGACAGTCCAACCTGCCTTTAGCAGTTGCCTCGTTTCCACCCCAGGAATGGGAGGAATGCAATTCGCCATCTTTTCGATGGGATCTTCTGCCGCGCCAGCTGGACCTTCAGGTTCATGTTCGTGCTCTCCCCTAGCTGGTGCGGCGTGCCCTTGCGGGCAGCTGTTTACCGAAAACCCGAACCAGACTTGACAGAGGTCGGTGCAACCTTACTGCCATCAGATTCTGAGGACTTTGCCGCTAAGCATGCCATCAATGGTCCTCGGTCGCCAAATACGGGGACATTGCCTCGGAGTTGGCAAATCATCTTCTGACCGTCTGGGCAAATGAAATATGGCGCCTCACCCGCTGGCCAGTGGAAAGAGAACCCCTGTTCCATGCACTTCTTTCCTACAGAGCAAACTGCAGGTGTGTTGGGGAGCTCAACGAACTGCAATGGGTTCCTCAATGACTCAATGTAGACTTCATGCTTGGTATCAGCGTCTACTGGTCCGTTAGCAGTGATCAAACTCACTGGGTTGGAAGCAACCTTCTTAGCCTTGCCCTTGAAATGGGCCTCCAAATCAGAGTGACTAATCAGATCTTCCTCGCTACCGGTGTCTGCGATGATTTCGAGGTTCTCACCTGTCACCGCCGCTGCAGCAAGTTGGGGCAGGGGAATTGCTTCTTTGCAGTGAATGCAGAATCCTTCTCTACCCCGACACCTGTAGTTACACTTGACCCGAACCTTAAGCTTCATCCCGTTCACTGCTGATTCCAAGTGACGGGCATTCTGCAAAGCTTCTTCGGTGTCCTCTGGAATTGATGGTGGGCATAGCTCCGCAGACTTGTACCTGAATTCGAACTTGTGCTTGTCTGGTACGAAGCTCCAGCCTTCACCCTCAGGCGGGATGTCAATGATTTCTGGCCTTAGGAACTGGACCTTTCTGCTTCGGGGCTTTCCGGCAGGGCCCTTGCGGGCTGCTACTGCGTAGGCTTTCACAGCATCGGCCGGTGGCTCACCCGTGAGGGTGGCTGTGAGGGAAAGACAGCAAGCGGCTGGCTTGTCCTCACTCTTTGGCCTTTTCTTACTGGGTCGCCTGCGCTTGCCGGAGGGCGATCTCTTCCCGTCCTTGCCAGCCTTATCGCCTTTGGCCGGGACAGAGGGAGCGGCATCCTTGTGCATGAATGGGCAATTCTTACCGTTCTTGCAGGTGCCTTTGGGGTAAAAGATGCAAGGAATCTTGGAGGTATCCTTCTTCTCCCCACCTTTACCGCCTTTACCTCCACCTTTTCTCGAAGGGGTACGTGGAGGTGTTCTGCCCCTTGTCTGTTCAGGAGTAGGCTTCACATGCTTGTATGGGCACTTATCACCTCGTGGGCACTTCCCACGCTGGAAAGCGTAGCAGGGCTTGTCCTGGCTTCGGCCGCGAGGGGTGTTCGGGGTATCGGAAGGAGCAGGGGCACCAAATCTGGCGCCATGAGCTTTGGCGATTGCTGTGCGGTTTTTGCGAGTCCTATCTCTAGCCAACAGCTCTTTCACGCATTTGACCAAGTAGTCATAAGTGCGTTGCTCTGTTCCTTCCTTAGCCCTGTCGTAAACCTCCAGATCAAACTTGAGCTTGCTAGCATTGCGAAGCTGACGAAGTAGAATATCTCTCAGTGTAGTCTCCTCGGGTTGGTGATTCAACCCCGCGATGACCGACTCCCAGTTGTGAATGAAAGTGCTAAGGTCATCACCATTCAACTGCACCTTGAGTAGATCTTCTACAGAGTAGAGGGAGCCTGCTTCCTCGTTGGTCTTAAAGTAGTGTTCGAACATCAGTAGAACCTGTCTACCACGAACGGCCCTACCAGCAGCTGCCTCAGACTCCTTGTAGTTGATGATCTGTCGTCCAAGATCACCCCTAGCGACCCTCGAGAGCGCCGAAAGTATCTTCGTGTCCAAAGTGAGGAATTTACCCGTGTCCCTCAACTTCTCCGGATCGGCGTCCCTGGAGTAAACCTCTTGAACCCATTTGAATGCCTCATCGGGTCTGTCCGATGCTGCCCGAACGGCCTCCCTAACTGTGATCTTCTAGCTCCTGTAAGTCTCCGGGTTAGGGCAGTCGGGTAGCTTCACCGTTTCAGCTTCCTTAGCCTTGGGTTTATCATCGTCAGGCTTCTGGATAACCGACTTGAGTGCTTCAGCGAGAAGTACGCTAGGTTCTTTGTTTTCAGTAGATTCTGCGGGTTCTTTGTTATCACTCTGTTCAGCAGCAGATACCGCTACATTGTGGGCCTTTGAATCCTCAGGCTCACCAATGTCATACCGTTGGGTCCTTCCCAAAACCGTCCGAAGCGACACAGGAATCTCCCTGGGGTTCGGAAGGGTCGGAATCCATGAATGGCTAGGACCCTGAACAAGCGGCGCTGCGGCACCACCTTGCGGTGGGCTTGGTTGAAGCTTGGAGCTCTCACTGGGATCGACTTTCACCGGCACGGCACCACCTTGCGGTGGGCTACTCTCCGCTGTCGACAAGACAGTCCTGAGTGAGTCGACCTCAGCTATAAGCTCCGCGTTCCTGTCCTGCAGGTCATCAACCAAGCTATCGTACTGCTGTGCCTCAGAGGTTAGCCTATGGTAGTACTCATTCTCTTCCCATTGAAGCTTTTCCTCAAACTCAGACCCTAAAAAGGCAATCATCTCACTGTGGTTTTCTTCGATACTCGAGCGCAATTCCGCGAAACGGCCTTCATGCTGTTTGTTTTCCGCAGTGAGCATGCGCGCTGCTGCTTCCAGCTCGGACCGATGTGCATCAAACTGCATGGCCATAGACCTTTCATCATGACTTTCCCTTTGTGCGCGTGCCAGCTGTGCCTGCAGCTCATTGGCTGATTGTCGTTCTGCTCGGGCGATTGTCTCTAGCACTCGTACTTCATTGTGTAGCTGTCCCACCAACAGGTGTGTGGATTGGCTCACAAATGCTAGCTGTTGACGATGATTCGCATCCGCTGTTGCCTCTAGGTGTGCAATGTATGCGTTGGCTTCGGCGTACACGTTGTCCAATGCAAATCGATGTCGTTGTTCCGCGCGAAGCTCCAAGGCACTTTGAATGCGGGGGTCATTCAGGAACAAGTTCACCTGAGTATTCTCCTGCAACAAATGCAAGAAGTACTGGTTCGCTTCCTGCTCCGTTCTACCACCAATACCACCGTCACCGTTGTTGCCCGCGGCCGTTGCGAACGGCACGATGTCCATTACGGAGCTAACTACGGCTGATAACCTGAAGTTTCCCAGGCTACCAGCTTGGCACGTCTAGTTACCGGTCAGTCAACCCTTGTGACCTTTTTCCACGGGGGACTTGGGCCAAGTGCAATCGCGTAAAGACATAGCTAAGGACCATAGGAATAGCAATGGAGGCAGGGTAAAATCTACAGGTTTAGGCTTTAGGGTTTAGGCGACCCAAGAGTTTTTGGATTAACAAACTATTTCGTGTTCAGTTTCACGGGAGAGCAAAGATGCCTTGGTGCAAACAATTTCGCGTTCTCCTTCTTGTTTTATGGGCCCCTTTTCCTCAGCATTTCGCGTTCAAGGCTCAGGTTTTTAGGTTTAGGTCCTGTTAGGGTGTCGGGCTTCAGGTGTAGGGCTGGTTTTCAGAAGCTATAGATATAGAAATTATCCTGTTGAAGTTCTTGGCTTCGGCGTTTAGGGTGTCATCTTTGTGTGATCGTTTGCCGTGGGCAGGACATGTCGAATGTCCAATGCGAAGGACTTACTAATGGCTGCGCGCTCCACTTTCAGTTCCATGTCAAAGGCAGCACATATCACGTGTCTACGGAAGCTTGCATCATGAAGGGTAACTGGATGTCGAGACCTTGAACCAGACTGCAAAACCCTGAACCCCCAACCCTTGAATCCTCGAACCTGAACTACAAACCCCAAAATCCTAAATTCCCGGCGAGCTGCACGGCGTCCCACTTGGAGAGCACCACTACAGCTGCGGTGCCTTTCCTTAGCCGTTACAGGATTCCAGTCAGGGATAAACACGAAACCACCCAAAAACTGTAAAACCCTAAACCCACACCCTATAAGCCCTATACCCTTATAAACTCTAAACCCACACCCTAT